AGGGCTGGAGGGAGGCAGCATGTTTGGCCTTGCAGTAATAGGCCTTGGGTTACTGCTGGTAATCCTGTCTTCCTCTTGTGAGATTAGAGGAGGTCAGAACATGTGGCCTCCTTGCCCTTTTAGCAAAACCCAAGGAGGGATCGCTACGAGTCAGGTCCGTCTCAACGGCACATTAACAACAGGGCTTTAAAATTAGAAGTCATCATTATATTTATCAATGCCAAATCAGTAAATCACATCCTTACTAAACTGACCAAGGCTCAACACAGTAGCATCACATGGCTGCAAAGCACTTAAACGAAAAACCAAACTTACTGCCATGGAGTCAATTCTGACTCACAGTGACACCCAATGGGTCTCCAAAGGTGTAAATCTTTACAGAAGTAGATTGCCTCATCTTCTTTCCATGGAGCAGCTGGTGGGTTTGAACCACTGCCCTTTTGGTAAGCAGGCAAATGCTTTACTCACTATGCCACCAGAGCTCCTTGCAAAGCACTTAGAATTCTCTAATTTTATAGATTTCTCTAGTTAGCCATAATTTTATAATTAAAGAATAATTCCCTGCACATAGTAGATATTTCTAAATATATGTTGAATAAATAATTAGTGTTGACTACAGTCTGTGAGAGGTGTGAAAAGGAAACTAATTATACATTTAGGCCTTCTGATGTTGAATGGATTTTATTTTTTGCAATAAGAAAGCAGTGAAGACAATGCAAGCACAATCTTTGAGCTTTGAGCTCTCAGTGTCGTGGTGACTCCCGTCCTGAAGCAGGCTGAGGCATTCTGAATTTTGAGAGGTCCAGGTTCAAATCCAAAAAGGTATACATAGTGTAGTCATGGTGCTGGAGATTCTTGTAGGTGGTGTTGTCAAACGGCTCAGCGGGTAAGGCAGCTTGCTCAGTCTCTGTGGAGGAAATATACACCCCATGAGAACATAGAGAAAGGGAAGGAGAAAGTTCTTTTTGAGTAAGTTAGCTTGCGCACAATGCTTACTTACAGACCAAGCAATCTTCATAAATTCTATCTATAGTGCACAAATTGCCTAATTAGAAGACTAAAGCCTAGGAAAGCAACAGGACCTTCACAAGCAGAAGAAAGGAATTAATTCAAAATGTGTTTTAAAAGCATATAGCATCAGCAATTTAAGAAATGAAATAGTTATTACAAAGTGTCTTAATATCTTTGTATACTTCCAGGCCTAGGACTTGTCAGAATTTTGAACCTCTCTAGAACAACTATGGAGGAACTTTCATCAGGTTACTTAAAAATACGGAAAGAAAAATGAGATGAGAAGTTTGTCTGTAATAGAAATAAGCCATTTATAGAAGAACATTTTCAGAAGCAGAAACCGCAGGTGGTTTCCGAGAAAATTAGATAAATGCTGACTCTTTTAAAATGTGTTACAGGTTCTATTTAACACAGGTAAAGCCAAACCAAAGCAAAACTTTTGCTGTCAAGTCGATTCTGACTCATAACACCACAAGAAGCGTAGAGTAGAACTGCCCCATAGGGTTTCCAAGCTGTCAATCTCTACGGAAGCAGACCATCACATCTTTCTCCTGTGAAATGACTGGTGGGTTTGAACAACTGACCTTCTGGTTAGCAACCAAGTGCTTTAACCACTGCACAACAAGGCTCACAGGAACACAGATAAGAGAAATTGAAAAAGAATACGTATTTTTTAACCATTTTATTTTTAAAAAAGTTGGTATATTTTAAGGCTCAGAGACTAAAAATACTAGGTTTTCTTTCTTAAAGTAGGGGAAAAAAAAAATCCAAAATGCATATACCAAAACATTTAGTAAGGTCCCTGGGTAGCACAAATGATTAAGTGCTTGGCTACTAACCAAAAAGTTGGTGGTTCAAGTGCACACTGAGGTGCCTTGGAAGAAAGGCTTGATGAACTACTTCAGAAAACCCTACAGAGCACAGTTCTACTCTGACACACACGAGGGTACCATGAGTCACAGTCGACTCAATGGCAGCCAGCTTTCTTATGGTTTCAATGTTTAGTAATCTGAAAACTAAGTATGGTTGAAGCAAAAGAAATACTGGTCTCCTGCAATATGGCATGTCACAAACAATAATGACAAAATGAAACCTGCAAGGATGACAGGCTAAGCTTGGATGAGATTCTAACTTGAGACTTCTGGAAATCATGTCATTATGGCTGTCTCAACTTCTTGTGCTACACCGAAAACAATGTAAATACATTTTTCTAGTATTTGAACTAATAGCAAAAGCTCTGCTTTTGAGGTTTTCAGTTGTGTCAAAAAGTGATGTCTTCTTTGAAAAGCTGACATTTTCCCAAACTCAACGAGTATCTTCAGTGTGGTATGGATGCATCTTCAAAACAGACTGTGTTACATAGCCAAGGTAATAACTGAAGGGAACCATGGATTTAAAAAAACTCTTATCAAAAACAAATGTACTTGGAAGGCAAAAAACCAGGTAACCAACATGTACAAATTTGAATCGGTATATGTGTTTGCTACGTATATTCTCAACAATGACAACAAAATAAATCATTAAAAACAAAAACTAGGTAATTGGGGGAGGAGGGCTTGTTTAAGTGGCTCTCAGAGCCTACATTGCACAGACAGCTCCCCTGCAACGTGGGCTGACTCTTGGTTGTCTTCTTTACTTTAAAAGTGAAAGAGAATATTTAAAAATAATATATCAGTGAAAAATTTAAATAATACATTAATGAAAAATTAGAACTTTTTCCTCCTTTAAAAATTTGTAATCTGAAACCCCCAAATTCAGTATGTTTTTTTTATTATGAAGGCTCTGGTGTTTCTCTCCTATCTACAAGGACTGCAAACAGCAGCTGCAGAAAATGCTCTTCTTGGAGTCTTGAGATGTTGGCCAAATGCTGGGACTGTGCATATTAATAAAAAAAGGAAGAAAATGGAAGTGGAAGAAAACACATAAATCCTGTAGACATGCTGCAACCAAGAACATTAAGGTACCAGGTAATGTACAGCAGGCAAGGGAGAGGCTTTCAACAGCAGACAGAGCAGACACAAGGAGGAGGAGCTGGACTTGTTAATCGTGATGGAATTTAAAGGAGTCTGGAAGAGGCAGAGAGTCTGAAATGAAGAGTGCCATCCATGTTTTTTCCAGGACCCACCTAAAGCACCTAACATTTTATAGAGTTCAATGCTCAAGAAAGGGGTAACAACTGGAATCAACACTGTTTCCTGTTAAAAATTCATGGAAGCAAAAAAAAAAAAAACTCTTTGTAAAAATTCATCACAGAAAACTATAGCAGCCTACTGTTTTTCAGGTGAGTCAGTGGCAGACCTGCTACCAATGTCAAGGACACTGAAGCCATCCATGGCTATCTTTGTATAACACTCTCTAGATAATTCTTAAAATGCCCATTTTCCATTATGCCCAAGAATGCTAAGTTAAAGTCATAATCTACTATCACTCACCTGAAGACTATAACTATTGCTCTTCAATTAAGTTAACTAACCAGGAGACTCCCCCTTCCTTACTTGGGTAAGTGTGCCACAAGTTCATGAAATGAACACCTGGACACCCTCAAAAGTTAGGAATGATAGTGTTAGACTATCAGTTTTCAAAAATTAAGAAAAAGTTAAGGAACAGTCAAGAAAGCCAAGGGCATGCTCTCTCATTATAAAACAAACTTAAAATACTTTAGGGGTTTGGTATATAAAGAAGGGCATTATTCATAAAGATATATATGCCTCTCTGCTTATCTAATTCTAACACTTCTTTATAATGAGATAGGCTTTCAAAATAAGTCTTTAGACTCTAACCCCTAAAGGCCAAGAAAAGCTCTCAATCATAAGTGAAGGTATACCCTGCATGTGGTCTGGGTCTTCCATTGGAGTTGCTGAGTCTTGAATTATTTCACCCTTTTCCTCAAGGTTTAGTACTGGTATCTTTTCATCAAAAACATCTTTGTTCTCAGCAGGAACTGTCTTCAAACTTCCTACTGGTACCTGATCTTCCAAAACTAGTTGTTTAGTCTGAGGAGCTGCCTTCAGGTTTCCTACTACCTGCTTCCCCAAATCTTCTTTTTTGAACTGGGGAGAAGCCACCTTCCATTTTGGTTCTGGCACTTGTTCTTCCACATTTTTTTCTCTGGTCTCAGAAGGTGCAGCTTGCAGCAGTTTTTCTGCCCTAGTTTCTTTTGCCAATAGTGTTGGCATTGGGCTTGGCTGTGCAGATAATCCTGACTCTGTGTGGTCAGTTAAGTTTTGTTTCGGCTTAACTGTCTTCTGGCTTTCGTTATCTATTTCATTCAATCTAAATCCTTTCTGCATTTGTTTTTCTTTTCCATATTTCTTCATAACCCCTTCATCTACTTCTGATTGGGGCTTTGTTTTCTTCTCTGGCTGGTAGGGTTTCTCTGGGTATGTGCTGTCTGTACATGGTACCTGGGACCAGGTCCTCTCTTTGGCTGCTATCACAACTTTGGGGGTTCTGTCATCAAAGGAAGCATCTGATTTTGCAAACTGTCCTTGGGCTTTGCTCACTGCTTGAGAACCAGCCTCTGAGATAAGCTCCTCCTCATCAGACTCTGAATCAGAGCTGCTGGATGAAGATGAGGATGAATCCTCCACAGCTTTCCTGTTCCCCTGGTGAGTTTCTAAATCGGAACCCTGCTTTCTGAGTGGAGACACAACTTTCTGAGGAAATTCTACCAAAGTCTTTCTTGCCAAAAATCTTGGGCCCCCTTTATCTGTGAGCAGCATGACGTCATCGGGGTCAGGACTAGCTACCATCTTGCCTTTATTCATAACTGATGGGTGAGAAGTGGGTGGAGAGAACTTTTTAGACAGTCCAGCTGCTGGGTCGGAGGCTAGGAGCTTGCCCCTCACCTTTGGTTCCACTACATCTAGGAAATGGCACAAAGAGGAACATTATTTTTAGTATTTAATAAAACAACCTGAACTCATTAGTCATAGTCATAGGCATTTTATTACACATCAAGTTGTCATTTATATGCCTTCAATGAACTCATCCCAAGAAACCTTCCTCAGACGTCTGCTCATAAGTAAAAGCCAGGCCACATGAGACAGCACAGTAAGGAACATAGGTATTTTTCTTTGTAGCTGAAAATTTAAAATCAGGGATTTTTACCAAAAGGAATATAGGTATGATGTTTCCATATTTCACAATGACAGTTCCTTTGAGGATGATTTTTAAGTTATTTCACCCAAATTTAAGACAAATTATGATATAAAGGTATTTTCAGATGAGTATGAAGTTTTACTAATGTATAATTCCTTAACTGCCAAAAAAAGAAAAAAAAAACCTGTTGCATCTCAAATACTAAAAAAGTTATCCATATTAGATGAACTTGAAATTTCTTTACCAAACAGCAAGGAAAAAGTAGAAATAACAGTCTCTATGAGAGTGGGGTGGGCACATACGTGTGTGTCAGAGTAGGGAAAGGCAGGAGGGGTATAATGTAGTTAAGGTAAAGGTGCCCCAGGAAGGAAGAAAAGTCCTTCAAAACCACACAAGTCATTTGGGGATTTCTTCAGTCAGGAAAAACAAAAGTAATACAACATCAAAAAGTCTAACATAGGGTGCTGGGCTGGTCCTGGCATCTGCGTGTGACCTCCCCAGAGGAGGTGCTAATGTAGGTGGAACTCAGAACTCACACAAGACACCTGAGCTCCAGCAGCACAGTAAACTTAAGAGCAGATATAATGATGATTCTTCTAGAATCTGTTGTGGATTTAAAAACTTTAGAAGAGTTATTTAAATAACATTATAGGTTGACCACCTATATCATTCACTAAAAAGAAAATTTCTAATCGGATTAAAAATTATTTAATTTAGAAATTCTGTTTGTAAAGGAAATCTTTGTCTATCACACAAAATAAGAACGCTTTAAAGTTTCTTGTGGTCATGCTAAGTTATTGGGAAAATCCACTGGAAAGGCTAGGAGACTATACTGTAGTAATACATCATACTCTTTACTGAGGGGACTGTTTTTGACCCTGGCCTCTTTTTTTTGATCCAGGAAGGAAGCTTGCCATGATGATCTGTTGTAGCCACTGGTACCTGCTGCACCAAAGTGACAGCATCCACACCAAGTCTGCATTTAATAGTACAAAAATGACATCAACTGGAAGAGAACACTATCCCATAAAGGAAAAATGGCTCACACTCTGGAAGCAAGAAGACTTTGCCTAATAGTTATTTTCATTAAGACACTTGTCTAGGCATTTGTCTAGAGGTGGGATGCCGATATACATCCACTCCTAACTTATCAACATGGTTAGGTTCCAATGACTAGATCATTATGTGAAAATCAGTGTTATGCAAAAGTGGAGGATGAGCACATCATTACATAACTGCCAAATTACTAAGAATCATGGCCCAGCCAAGCTGACAGATAACCTTAGCCATCACAGCCAGCATTATTCTTACCTCACATGCACCTGGGTGTTTCAGATAACCTTAGCCATCACAGCCAGCATTATTCTTACCTCACATGCACCTGGGTGTTTGTTACTTTCAGATGTATGTATTAACATGCACAAAATAGCTAGTTAGTAGATTTTGTACTACTGTTATAGAAATGTGAAATGTTGCATAAGGAAATAGCTGATAAGTGAGAAGTAGGTGTATTCTCACAATGTTTTAGTTTGATGGAGAGTTCTCTTGAAAGACAAATATGAGACACATTGCTACGTAAATAAGACTACCTCAAATAGGCACAGCTCACAGCATAAGATGGGGACTTTCAGGGACTATACCTTAAAAGCCTATATAAAATTCCCATCCTATTGCCATGGAGTTGATTCCCAAATCACAGTGACCATACAGGACAGGGAAGAACTGCGCCACGGGATTTTTAATCTTTACAGAAGCAGACTGCTACATCTTTCTCCTATGGAGCAGCTGGTGGGTTTGAACTGCTGACTTTTCAGTTAGGCTTCCACCACTGAGCCACCAGAGGTCTACAAATACTAGGAAACAGCACAGAGACAGAAGTGTATCCTTGCCACTTCTTCATCCTCTCATAATAGAACTTACATTTCTTAAATCTCTTTTCTGCTCAGTTGAAAAGCAAGGGGCATGATCAAATTTTTAGTGGTCCCCATAGTGAAAAGCAAACATGACTGTGGTGTTTGAAGTGGATTAGCAACCTCAGAATACTTTGACATCTTGTCAGTATGTCATAAAAATTGTATTTCAGAAACAAAGCACACTCAGAAACAAAGGTGTGTTTAAATATAACATTAAAGAATAAAGCTATTTAAATTTTAAATGGTAATTTAAAACTTCTTTTACAAGTGTTTGACTGTAACTTTTTTTTTTTTTTTTTAAATAACTGCATAAGAATTAAGATTTTTCATAAGCTTGACAGCATAAGGATTAAAAACATGGACTCTGCAGCCTGATTATCTGGGTTAAAAAACAGGCACCCACAGTCTTTGTAATTGGGAGAAACTCGCTTGTCTCTTTGCAGCTCTACTGCCTCATCTATGAAATGGAGACAATAACAGTATCTATCTACTCACCAGGCTGTTTGAGGGCGGCCAAGTTAACATATGGAAAGTGCTTAGAACAGTGTCTGGCACCATTGCCTATAATTAAATACATCAGATCCCTATTTCCAGAGACTCTTAACTTTTAAAAGTGAAATAAAGACTTGAAATAGATAATTAACTTTGGCTTCTTGGCATACTCTTTAAATAGCTACACAGGAATTATTTAGTCAACGAAGTATTACTGATGGCTGCAAAACTGAGCCTAGAGACTGTATGCAACAGACCAACAAATGCTGGCAAGCCAGATGGTTCTCCCAGAGGGTGCACCTGTGAGAACACCCGGCTTCTGAGATCAAACTGGCCTTTCCCCCAGAAGGAATGGAAGCACATGCTCTGAAAAGCTGAATCCCAAACTGAGCAAGGCATTATAGCACCCTGGAGTCCTGCCCTGATAGTAGGCCCTTTGACCAGAGATGTGTCCCTGAGGTTGAACACGTAGGGTCCTCACATTTACAGACAGGAAATTCTCATTAGAGCTTCCCAAGCCATTCATAGTTGAGAAGGGTTTACTTGGCAGTTTGCCATCAAGAGGAAAACACATTTGCTAATCACTGACACTTAGTGGGGAAACATGAAAGCTTGCACATGTCCACTGTAGTTGCATCATTTCCTTTTCTTTGCACAGAATTTTTTTTTTTTTTTTAAATCATGACATACAAATGTAATATGCAATACACACAGAACATACACAGGTCTCTCAGTCTTGAAAGCACCTAGATGAGCTGTACTCTGTCCCCACTCAAGCATGAAGGAACCAAGGCTCAGAGGCCTGCAGGGTGGCCATACTCAGGGGCAGAAGCTACTTGAGAGCTCAAGGCCATCTTCAAGCTCAGTGATCTCCCACAACTGCACACAAACTGCCAGAGGATGAAGCACTCCATTTCCACTCAAATACATATCCAGTGGGTGTGTGTGGGGAAATCTTTGGCTCTGCCATGGTATTTTAAAACCCATTTAATCCAAATTCATAAACCTACATATCAAATAATCCATGTAACCAAAGAGATTTGTAATGAAGTAGGATTGCATATATGATTAAAGTTCACCAAGTGGTAAAGTAATATTATAACATAATTCAACAAATCATTCATGAGTAAACATTACAAAAATGCTAAAAATGTGCCATGTACAAGACATAACTTTTTCCATGTACATATTTAAACATTATCAAAAACATGCTAGGTGATATTTGATGATATGAAGGAATTAATGTTAACTTTTTAGATGAGATAAGGTATTATGGTTGTGCTTATATATGAAAAAAAAAAAAAGGAATCCTTATGTTTAAGACATATTGAAATATTAATGGGTGAATGGGGAAAAAAAAACACCCAGAAAACTGGATGAAAAACAATCCAGGATCAATGCAGAATTAAAGAATCTTCTCATCACACTGGGGCCTCCAGTCGACTGGGCAAGCAGAGGCCACCAGGATGGTATGTTTGAGAGGTGTAAAGGGGGTCCGGGGGGCTGGGACTCTCAACAACCTGCCTACAGATAACCTAGGGATGTTCTTATGTGCTGAGCAAAGGGCAAAAGCCAAGGATTCTAAACATTTTTAAGCTTCAAATGGAGAAAATGATATTTTGATGAAAATAAAACCAAACACAAATAATCATTCTAAAACTCCATATAAAATTTAAGATTTACAAAGGGACTGAATGTATTATATATTCTTTCAAGAATTACCTAAGGGACCACCAAGTAAGACCAAAGCAATGGAATTGGATCATGGTCAATTATTAATAATCAGCATGGAGAAGAAAAGAAAAGAACTCCCAGAAGAGAAGCATTTAAGATACACTGTTACATTTTCCATTTCCCATTAATGAGAATAGTCTAT